GAGGTGTCGTGTTAGAGAGTGGTATAAGATTCAGTATAACATTCTCCCAACAACTCGAGTTATTAGGACCAACTGGTTTATGACAGTACAAACATAAAAATCCATCGTTTTGGAGCTTAAAATTACAGTAAACAAATGGATGAGAATTAAATGGATGAGAATTGAGATGTGGCTGAACATAGAAAACAAATGGATGTGTTGTATGAAAAGTACGTACTAATTAGTTTGGGTGTGAAACCTAGCTTTAATTCAATGTACACAAAAAGAGGTGGGATGGATTGTCATGTGTCGGGGACAGGTGTTAGGCTGATGAACTAATCAAATGAAAATTGGTGGGTAAAGGTTCGATCCATTACGGGTACACTACACATCCTCACATTTATAGGTGGCCAATTATACGGAAACCAAACCAAAAAGATCGATCCAAAAGGAAATGTTGTTCTTTTTAAATTTGTCACTTATAAATATTGTACCGTAGCTTGTTTTAGGTAGGAGGTGGCTTTGTTTGGTTACTTCACCTGATACAGTGGCAGTAGTTGAGCTATACTTAATATGCCATATTCGGATTGTATAATCATAGTATCGATAGTTATACCGAAAGAGTTAATATTAAAGTATTTTGTGCCGAAATCGTTGTTCAATCATTTATTGCCGCTAAAACTATCTATAAGTTTAGATTCCAATAAAAATTCATTTCGATTAAACTGTCGGTACAATACGATTTTACAAACCGTACTGGGTGTGGTAAACAAATGTTAAAATACGATAGTAGCATGCATGGCAAGTAGCTAAAAATGTTACTGATTTAACCCTTTTCATGATATTGAAAATAGATATCCACAACAGATGAGATAAGGACAGTTTGAAACATGGACAACCCATTTCCGGAAATTTTGGATGTTAATAAACCAAACAGAACGTGGAGAGGCAGAGTAACCGAAAAAATGGGACCAAGTAAGTCTCATGCATGAATTAGGCAGACAGATTGGATTTTCAAGGAACTGAGAAGCCGCAAATCTATTGTTTCAAAGATTGAAAATCGGCGGAGGACTCTTTGTTCTACTTGTGATCTCATGCATTCCCCCACGCCATACTTCACAGCCGCTCAGCCGCCGCTTCAATTTACTATGCACCGGCTAAAGAGAAGAGAGAGCCGCTCCTCCTCCTTCGTGATGATCACATTTCTTGCTAGCTAGTAATTAATATAAGCATATAACATTGTAGACATTGGGTGAATTTTTTTTTTAATTCTTAAAATTCAAGTTGTAGTAGAGGCATTTATAAATAATTTGTTGCATTCTTTATATATACAGGAGAGATACACACAATCGTGTGTTAAAAAAAAAAATCTTGAAACCTGTGAATTGTGACTGGGCTACATGTATCTCGACAACGGTGATTTTTTCTACTATTATGTGAGAGCTAGAACGAGAATCAAAAATTGTGTTGAAACTCATTCACGCATCTAAGATGAAGAAGTAGTTAATAAGTACCATAAGTATGAATCTCTTTCAACAACTATAGAGTTATTGAGACATGTTGGTTTAATGTTTATGTTACGTTATCAGAGCTGGTTTGTCATTTAAGATCAAGCGTGCAAGTCCACATGACCCCTAATATTGATCATTGTCCACGTGATAATAACGGGTCTGTACAAATTTCAACCTCATAAACTGGCTGACTTTCATTTAAAGAGACGATGCAAATAAGTAATTTGGTACCATACGATATGAATCTCTCCCAACACTTGGAATTTATTGGAATCACTTGTGTTGGACTGTTAGAGTATCCACATCAATGGTATTTGCTCAATTGCAAATCCAACTTTGCCGTCAATATACAATTTGCAATGGGAATACATCAATGTAGTGGGTAATTGCAAATATGCAAGCTTGCATTAAATGAAATTTAATATACAAGCCACATAGAAAAAATATAAAAATATAAAAAATTTATTTGTCTTGATTTATTTATTTTATAATTATAAAGTCATTTAAACTCTCATATATGCAATTGCAAATAAATTACATTGATGTAGGAGCAATAAAATAAAAGTGAGTTGGATTACATAAAAATCAAAATAAAAATTTGAAATAAAAATAATATGAAATTAGTTTTGCAAATTCATTGATACAGATGCTTTTAGTCACCTTTTAATTGATGGATGAGACCTAAAATCACGGCCCAAGTGAATAAATGTCCAATGGCGTGGGTTGACGATGATGGGGCTGAGATTGGGATTTGTGGAATTACCGACACAGCTGGTAGACTGGAAACTTTGGAACTGCTTCTGCTATCTTGTTGTGGATGAGGATCGACCACTACCTAATATAATATTCCATAATAAATAAATGAAGAAACCTTGTGAATAATAATAATAATTTGATAATAATAGTAATGTTACAAGTTACAACAATAAACTCACACGGCTCCCCCAGCTTTCGATTCGTTGGACATAGCTGCATCGAACAGAATTCACAATTTAGCAGTTGGACCATGAGCCAGCCCAGCCCTCAAAAGGCAGCTAGCTAGCTGGAATGGAATGGAGTTGTCCGTTGGGGGCCAAGACCACGGAGTCAGCGGTCAACATAAGACGGAGAAAGAATGTAAGATAATTAACATGGGATTCGTTTTTTCTGGATTTGATGTTTACTTTAGCAGATAGAGATTAGATTTAGATGGATGTCGTCCGAATTCGGGGCATTGAATAATGGGGTGTGATTTTGGCAGTTGGATTAAGTCAGTCAATTTCTCCCCCACTTGTTATTAGCCTCATGTTCATACCAGTTGCTCAATTTTGTATCATCAAACCGATAAGGGATGAAGAACTATTCAATTTCAATCCCTTCCTTCCTTCCTTGTAGTTTGTATGTTTCACGATAAGCATACAACCTACAGTTGGTTTGCGTATACGGGTAGTCTATATGCTGTTCCATGAATTTATTGGCTGTTTTTTTTTTTTAATAATGACTTGATATTTGGATTTATTCCTCAAAGCTGAAAATGGAATTTTCATGAGATCATCGTCAAAATTAATCCTCAAATTTAAACTATTTTGGGTGCAATTTAAACTATCATAATCGAATACAACTTGAAAGATATTAAAGACATATTAACTACTCATAAGCGAAAAAGAAGATGCTAGATCGAACAATAACACAAATAACACGAAAAATAAGACCAAGAGAAGGTAGAAAAATCAAAGCTCACTTGTTACTCTTTCCCTCTAAATGGATCAATCTGCTTATTTGTAAATTTCCAGCATTTTAAAAAATTAAACTCAGAAAGAACTGGTTTATGAATTCCATTAAAATAAAAGAATTGGTTTATGAATTGATCTAGTACGAATTAAATGTCAATATATGGTACTGTGTGAATTGAATTGTCCCGTGACTTTATACTCTTAATTCCAAAGATTGTGAAATCATACCCGAGGTTATACAAAAAAAAAACAGTGATAGATTATTTTATATTTAAATCATGATTTAACCATTTCTCATAGCTAAAACCGTCTATCAATTTGAGATTTACCCAAAATTCATGACCAATACGAATCAATTTTTAAAACATGGCATAATTCCCAACGAAATTCCAATTATACATGAATTATAAAAGATAGCTAACTTAACTAACTCGGATTTAACTTCTCCATAATTCAGTTGAACGGTCGAAACGAAAGATGGAAGGAAAGGCAAGGATGAAGAACAAACGACCACAGTCCAACTTGGAATACTACTCCCTCCAGATTTTCCAAATCCTCTCAAATTAATTAAAAAAGATTTTTGTCCTACCAAAAATAGGGATGGCAATGGGGCGGGTTTGGGGCGGATTTGTCTAAACCATCCCCATCCCCGCTTTCAAATATCCAAACCCATACCCGCCCCATACCCATGCGGGGGAAGATTTTGCAAATCCATCCCCATACCCGTGGGTTTCGGGTACCCATGGGTAATACCCGCCCCGTACATCCAACATTATAATACATAAAATTTTACATGTAAATTTTCAATTATAACATTAAAGGCACCTATTATATCATGAAGTCGAGAAAGTGACAATAATTCTTAATATGGTTCAAAGCATTTTATCCTAAATCCATAAAATAGAGTACTACAATGTAATCCAAATCATTATTTATCTGACTCTAATACATATACTAAGCAATAATGAACTAATATAATCTTGCTAACATGAGGGAAAAGTGAAAGAGTGAAGAGAGAGTTGAGAAAAATGAATTAGGTTTTGATTTGGGTGACCACTCAATTACATTTCTACTAATTATTTTTTTTTATTTACCCTCACTATCATTGATAGATTACTATTTCATCCATGTATTTTTTATATGTGAACAAATATTCTTGGTGGGGCGGGTATGGGTATGGGTATGGGGCGGGGGAGGCTAAAACCATACCCGCCCCATACCCATCAAACATTTTGCGGGTTTTACCCATACCCGCCCCATACCCAGTCAAAGCGGGGATTCCCCGCGTTGACTGGGTCGGGGGCGGTCGGATACCCGTGGGCATGGGTTTGATTGCCATCCCTAACCAAAAAAGGAAGAAGATTTTCAATAGGTTCTCACATCACGCGCCCCGTTTCCTTCCACGTTAGGTTTATTCCATCCGGATAAGCTTCAAAAGTTCCCCTGCCCACCTCCTCTATCCATTTCTACGCGCCTGTTCCTTTTCCACCCACCAAAATCCAATTTATAAATTAAAATTTATATTTAACGCCGCACACATTTTCCCATTTTAATTAAAAAAACAATTTTCCACCCGCATTATTATTTATTTTTCTCACCCTATTTCCCACGACTTGCAATTTCAAATTCCACGAGCCTTCCATTCCACGCGCCTTTCCTCCACGTATAAATACCCTCCCCCACCCCATTTCTCTCTGTCAGAAAACCCAAAAAGCCTATTCTTCTCCACATAAAAAAAACGACGATTGCCGGTCACCGTTTCAACCTCCGACGATACCCGAACTTTTAGAATCAGACAATGGTTGATCTACACTGGAAAGCCAAGATGGTCTCCTCCAATCTCCCCAACTCCCTCCAAGTACAGATCCCGGCGCCGGCGGCTCCGGCCTTCCGCGGCGTCACCAGTGTTTCACCGGTGTCGGCTTCCGACTCCGCCTGCTCAGCCTACGAGTCGTACCTCCGCCTCCCGGAGCTGAGGCAGCTCTGGTCCGACCGGGACTTCCCCGAGTGGAGTAATGAACCGGTACTCAAACCGGCTCTCCACGCGCTGGAAATCACTTTCCGGTTCGTCTCCACGGTTTTATCCGACCCGAGACCGTACGCGAACAAGAGGCAGTGGAAGCGGCGGCTGGAGTCGCTGGCCACGGCTCAGATCCAGCTCATCTCCGCCCTGTGCGAGGACGACGACGGCGGCGTTGCGCCGGTCGTCGGACTCAGCTCCGGGAGCGGGGTTTTGGCGAGGGAGAGCAGCTACGCGGAGGTGTGGACGATCCCCGGCGGCGGCGAGGAAGATTCTTCCTCCGCCTCCGCCGTGGCGGTTAGCCGAGCCAGCGAGGCGAGCCTCCTCCCTCCGCTGTCCACGTGGCAGACGTCCGAGGACGTCGCGCAGAAGATCATGTACTCGATCGAGTGCGAGATGAGGCGGTGTCCCTACACGCTAGGGCTCGGCGAGCCGAATCTCGCCGGGAAGCCGAACCTCGACTACGACGCCGTATGCAAGCCGGCCGAGCTCCACTCCTCTTCCCTCAAGCGGAATCCGTACGACCAGCAAATCGAGAACCAAGAGAACCAGACTCTCTACACGGCGCACCAGATCCTCGAATCCTGGATCCAGGTCGCCAAACAGGTGATTACTCGGCTCACGGAGAGAATCGCGGCGGAGGAATTCGAGGCGGCAGCGAACGATTGCTACTTTTTAGAACAGATCTGGAAGCTTCTCGCGGAGATCGAAGATCTCCACCTCCTAATGGACCCGGACGATTTCCTCAAACTGAAGAACCAGCTCTCGATCCGGTCGGCGGCGGCGGAGACGGAGCCGTTCTGCTTCCGGTCGCGGTCGTTGGTGGAGATCACTAAATCCTGCAGAGAGCTGAGGCATAAGGTGCCGGGGATTCTCGCGGTGGAGGTGGATCCAAAGGGCGGGCCGAGGATTCAGGAGGCGGCGATGAGGCTGTACAGGGAGAAATCCGATTCCGAGAGGATTCACCTGCTGCAGGCCTTGCAGGCAGTGGAGGCGGCGCTGAAGAAATTCTTCTACGCGTACAAGCAGGTCCTCGTGGCGGTGATGGGGAGCCTGGAGGCGAAGGGGAACTCCGCCGGGGCGGCGGTGGTCGTCGCGAGCTCCGACTCGTTGACTCGGTTGTTTCTGGAGCCGACTTATTTCCCCAGCTTGGACGCTGCCAAGACGTTTCTTGGGAAGTTCCACGAAAGGAGGAATACGAGGCAGTAAAAAGCGACGGTAAAAAAAAAAGGTAATCGGATAATTTAATTTCCACCGAAGTCAATTTTCCCTCGCACTGAAGCGTTTCGAAACGTTAGCGGCATTCCGTTGTATTGTGGAAAATTCTTTTTTGTTGGCCGGTTTATATGTAAACAATATATTTAATTATTGTGTAATTGTAATTGCATACGCTTTTGCGAAATCGATCCATCCGACCACGATTGTTTTCCTCGAGAGTCGAGACAACAAAAGAACAAATAGGTTGGGAATTTAAATTAATTATTAATATAAACAGAGATTAAGAACACCATTAGGAACAGTTAATCATCATTAATCAATAGTATTGAGGAGCCCAAACATTAAACGGCAGCGCTTCGTGAAGGGGAGACACGTTTGGATACATTCCAAAAACACGGCCGCTGCAATTCTGAAATTGAATTCCCTGACTATCAGTAAACAACGGCGGCGGCAGAGTGTCGTAGAGCATCATCGATTTCCCACCGTCGGCGAATCTTCCACCGGATTGCCACACCGGGATAGAATTACAATGCTCACCACCGTCGCCACCACCAAGGGGATGCGGATGGCTCTGTACAGGATCGGCAAGGCCGCCATTATCATTCCAAGACACAGCAACCGGCTGGTGGGTTGCAGACGGCGGTGAAGCTTGCTCCGACGAGATCCGCCTCTCAATTTCCTCCTCGTTACTCTCTCCGTAGCCGCCGTCGTCGTCACTTGATTCATCACCACTCTCTGTTTCCCCCTTTTGCTCCTTCCCCTGCAATCTCAATTTCTCCTCCAATTCAGCAATCTTGGACCCCAACAAGCCTGCCGCGTTCGCCAGAGCGTCCCTTTCCGACGACATCCCGTCGATCCAGTCGGAAAGCGGGTCCGCCAGGCTCCGAATTCGGGCCCTCCTCCTATTCTTCTCGCCGACCCTCTTCCTCCGCTCCAGGCAGCCCAGAACCGTCATCTCGCCCTTTTTCTCTTTGTCGGCCCTCCTGTAAGCTTCGATCGCCTCCCGGGCTTGCTTGGGGTCCTCCGGCCACAGGAATTTCACCCTGCCGTCGACTCCGCTGGAGGCCACGCAGACAGAGACGCCGGACAGTGTTTGGAGCTGGTAGGCTTTGGTTTTCAGGGTCGGCAGCCGCTTCTGGAGGCTCGTTCTTCTGGTGAGCTCGTTCCCTTCCATAATCTTCCGAATGAATTTTGCTTTCCTGGCTTCCTTTTTACGGACCATGCCGCCGCCGCCGACGAATTGCTGCATTGTATCCATTCTGGTACTTCTTCTTTTGCGTTTGTCTTCTCAATACCGATCGAGGTTCAAATTCTCGGACATAATATGATCAAAATACGCAGCAATGAGAACGAACGAAGAGAAAGCAACAAGCGCGAATGTGATGTGATGTAACCTACGATTGAGGTAATGATCTAGCTGATAACATAAATCGCCCTTCTGTAACGAACCAAAACTCTTGAGAAGCTTTGGAAGAGATTAAGGCGGAGTGTCTCTATTTGTAGAGGCGCAACATAGCCATGAATCTAACCTTAGGAAATAAGGAAAACCAACTTCTATATTTAAGAAGGAAACTTAATGCTAATATGAAAAGGAAAACAAGACTTGGAACATCTTCCTTCGCGCAATCCGTATCCCTCTAGGATTCAGCATCCGATAGTGGCCCAACTAATAGAACTCTTTTTCCTTCCTGGATGCCATCCATGTTTGTTGCAGCCCATCAGTCCATCGTTACCACAATGGTGGGCTGACAAGTCTAGCCCAATTGACAGACTGGTCGGGAAAGACCAGCCTTTGTTGCTTTCGGAATGACAAATTCGTCCATTATGATCAAATGTGTTGGAAGACTCAAATAAGTGTAGATTATGCATCCAACGGGAGTGTAGTATAGGGCGACCCGACTTCTGTGTTTTTCGAAACCTGAAGGTGAGGACCGAGTAGTAGAAGAACCTCGCCATCAGGAGAGCGAATGCCGGCAAAACCATCAACGAGAAGGACCACCGAATGGTACTCGAAGAACAAGCCTAGCAGTGCTGAGATGGTGTGCTAACTGCTAAGGATGGTCTCATGAGCTGAGGTGCCTAAGCTTATTTTGGACAACCAATGAGGTGTGATCAATAGGCCATACTTCCTTGTTGCCTAAGAAACTAAGCAACCCCCACGAAGAGGAAGGAATAGAACTAGAATTCTAGAAACGCTATGCAAGCAGCGTAATTGGCACCGGTCAATTTGACAAGGATTCGTGAAGAAGGGAACAAAAAATTTGCTACTCGCTAAAAGAAACTGACAGTCGAGGAGCTCTGGCATTAGAACTAGGCTTGAGATTGATGAAGCAACTAGGGATGGCAATTATGCCCATACCCATGGGTATTTTACTATCCAACCCAATTGGGTTGGGTATGAAATCCAAATATATGGATATCCGTAAAGTTTGATGGGTTTGTACCCATACCCATTTACTTTGGGTTGGGTTGGGTTTATAACAAATGGATTTGGGTTTGTACCCATGCCCAAATACAAATTACAGTTTGGTACCTAAACTTAATAGATATGCATATTTAGTACCTAAAATTATTTTTTTTGCATATAAGTCCTCAAAATATCGATGGAAAATTACGTTTTGGTACCTAAATTTTTTTGGTCTTACATTTTGGTACCTAAATTTTTCAAGTTTTACAAATAAGTCCAATTTTTGCATGTGTAGTTAAGACACCCTCAAGTAAATGGATATCCATATCCAACCCATACCCATTTAGATAATATCCATATCTAACCCAAACCCATATACAAAACCCAAACCCATACACACATCACCCAAACCCTACCCATAATAGATGGGTCTATTTGGGTTTGGGCAAAATTACCCATGGGTGGGTAAATTGCCATCCCTAGAAGCAACCAAGAAAACACTTTCCAAGTTATCCTAGCAAAGATATTAACAGTAACCTATCTCACGGCCAACTCCTTAATAATCATGGTCAGTAATTTCAAACCTACTGCCACTGCGAGAACATTCTGATCTCTCCATATGTTTCTTGTTCCTTGAACGTTATATTCCGGTCTTGGTAACTGCTTCTCTCTTATTGGCTTTGGGTGTTAGCAGAACAGAGGCCATCAAGAAGCAGGGAGGCAGAGGCAAGTTTATTCCATTTTGCTGCGAATTGATTAGGTTTGTATGTTATCGTAGTTTCTACAAGGATGTGTCGATTGAGCGGGCGGAGAAGTCCCTCTCAGCAACAGGGTACATGAATGAGAAGGCTAGTAGATAAGTCCCAGACCAGAAACTAACCTGTGGGATTGTCTTAGGTTCAGCAATCAGCTCCATCCCTTGGATCAACTGGTCAGTCCATTCAGTTCTGGACGCGATCTCCCAATGTCACAGAACTCCACAACCGAGTTGAAGCTCCCAGCCTGAGTAAAGGTTAGCAATAAACAATACAGTGAAAAGCCTGTTCAGATATAAGTTACGAAAATTCAATTCTTACCATGTTGACAGCCAAACAGATGAGAGTAAGAACCATTTGTTGCTGTCTGTTCCCAACTGCTGTAAATGTAAGACCAAAATATGGACATTCAAAAGGGACAGGTTTTCTGTTTTCAGTAGAGGTGGCAATTAAGATCCAAATCCATGAATCCAATCCAATTCATCCACCAAATTATCCACCTAATCCAATCCATTTAAATCCAATCCATTTGATCCAAATCCAATTGGATTGGTGGATTCATGGATCAATCCATGGATCCAAATGGCAAATTACGATTTGGTACCTATATTTTTTACATTTTACATTTTGGTACCTAAAATTTATATTTTTATACGAAAAATATCATTGGAAAATTACATTTTGGTACCTAAAATTTTTCATTATGACATTTTAGTACCAAAACTTTTCAAAATTTACATTTTGGTCCAAGCCTTGAATGTCATTTGGATTCATGGATCAATCCACCAATCCATTTGATCCAATCCATTGATCCACCAATCCATTGGATCCAATCCATTTGATCCATGGATCCACCAATCCAATCCACGAATCCACGAATCCGATCCAATTGCCACCTCTAATTTTCAGAAAGTAGCTTCACGTATATGATTCCAAGACTAAATCTATCAGAGAGTGGCAAACTGCCGTTGAAGTTGGTTGGTAATGGTACAAACAATCTGTCCAAGCAGATTGCTAAACATGTATTCTATCTGAACAAAGAAATGAACGGTAAAAGAAACGAGGAAACTACACTATTATACAGCTCGAGGGATGTGAAAGTTAACTAGGAAGAATGAATCAGAGACACTCAAATGATTACCGAAGAGGTGAACTTTTCTACCAAATTGAAACAATAGATTGCGTGGTGATGTGAGACCTAGCTAGCATCACCAGAACCAGCTACTGCGGCTATCAATTGCCTTGACTGTTGTGGATACCAAGGGCATTCGTCCAAATTCGGCAACAAATCTGTTGATACACAGACTTCTTCTATCCTTATGACCACCCAAGCTACTGATCCCAGTCGAGCCGATCTCAAATATTTTGCCTACAATAAACACAAACCCAAGAGTGTGAGGAATAACAAACAAATATTCATCCAACATGTTTAGATTAGAAGCTGCTTCAATTGTCTGCATGATCCAAATTGCAGGAAGTCATTACGTACCCCAAAAGCTTAATCTAAGACTTGTGTGAAGCCTATTATCCGCTTTCAGGCAATTACAGCTTTGTTATTTATTACCCAAAAAAAAAGTCATCACCCCTCCAAAAGTATCAGGCTGAATTAGTTCCGATTCATTCAATCGGGTGGAATTTTATTGGAGAAGTAGTCAACTTGTGCAAGTAGTAGAATAACAGAGCAAATAGTAAAAATGAAAGTGTGCGTGAAACAACCGTAATAAGATCATGAGTGTGAAATGCTTAAGTGGTTCAAATTTCTATTTTAACTGTTGAAATTGGAAATTGGAAAGATGTATTTAATACAGAAGCTGGTTATTAGATAAATTGGAGGCACCAACCTATTGCATCAATTAGGAGTTGATCTAAGGTTCTCAAACAACAAAATCAAATTCAAGAACATTAAGAAAAGGGATAGCATATAAGTTCATCAATGTCAGACAAATGACATACCCTTCACCCATACAGGTGGTGCATCAGTTGCATTTGCAACTAGGAACGACATAGCGATATCTTCACAATTCCTGTCAAATTCCATTTCATGATAAGTGGGGAACACTTTTAGCAAAATGCATAGAGAAAAGTCATCACACAAACTAATTGGGAAGCACCTGTTCTTGGTTATATAGTCCTTCAGTGATGCTGGCATCTCATTTGTGTACAACCTGAGATACTTTTTGTGGAAAAATGCAGCCTTTGAGAGAACCATGCTATAAGTACCCGTCCACCAAACAGACCACCATCCACCGTAGCTATAGTATTTATTATTGTCGCGCTGCATCAAGATCAGAGATTTACAGAGCTTTAGAATGATTACATCTACTACCAGATTTTATATGTGCAAGAGAAATAACCAAACAGCAAAATCCCCACCCCACATTTAAGCTATTTTCATACTTCATACATAATGCATTACAGCCCCATCACACTTGAAGATACTTTTTATGGAAAATTGTTGGTTCATATTCTAGATGGAAGAATGTACGACAACATCAAGGCACCATGCAATATGCATATTAGTCAAGTACAACATTGAAGAAAAATATTAAGGATGTGGGATGCCCAACTAGTTCCTCTGGAGAAATTGTTGGGAGTTTGACCAATTTTCTAGCTTAAACCAAGCAACTCTTTCCATGCAGGTGAAAAATACACATTTGACTCCCACAAGAATATTAATCAAGCAAGTTAAGCATCACTCATTGACTTCAGCCGGAAATGTCATACCGATTGCTCCAGCCAATGGGCACGTGGCACAAAGCCCACCAAGTTATCTGGAGCACTTTGCCATACATGGAAAGCAAACTCCACGGATGAGCATGGAAATACGACATCATCATCAATTGAGAAGACAGCATCTGTCTTCAAATCTTTGATCTCTTTGAATCTATTGTTCAAACTGTCTTCCTTATTGATGTCAAATTTCAGTTCAACTTGCCTCGGGCCTCTCGACTTTGACTGAAGGATGCGGTTTAGATGTGCAACAAGAGGATCAGAAGGAGGATCAGGTTCACTCCATACAATGTGTATTGAATCGAGTTCGGAACATGATGCATAGTGAGCAATTGATTGCTTCAACAGATCATATCTTTTCCAAGTATTCATTACAATGGCATAACCTTTCCTGCATACAAAATGGAAACCAATATTTTAATTATTAAAAGCCAGCTAAGCTAAAACTCAGAGCAAGGTGATAAAAACTCTAACAATTTCATAGATATGTTAATATTCTGTTGATCTACAAATGTTTTATGTGCTCCCACAGCTCAAGGCATCATAATTACCAGATGAAGAACACAGTTAAACTATAGCCTAATCAAACCGTTCAAAAGTATTTTAGATTCCTAAGCACCATAAGAACAAAAAGGACATTTCCTCCGGCAAAAATCCCAAAGTAACCAACAAACAGTTCTATCCAAGAAACACAACAAACAAACTAGCAACACCATAGCAGCGAATGATTTCCCCTTCTTTTTTGAAAAAATCCGCACCAATTATTTCAAATGTGCCTCGGGTATCGGAAAACCATGATTTTTCTCTTGCTTCATCCTTTGTTTATGGAGAACAATTCAAAGTAGACCAAACATACTGATCAAATGAGCTTGTTTCACTAAAATAGTAAAAACAGCACAAAGGATGAAATAAGATACTCAAAGCCAGGTCTCCATACCAGGGTTTCGTACATTCAACTAGAAAGGTAGGCAAAGGATCCTCCTAAACTACTCTGTGAAACCAACAAACCTAACCAAACTCAACCAGCAGGCAGCATGCCATCGTACAATCATTTGTCAGCACTAATCTTTTGGCCTCAGCATTACCACACAAAGGGCAGACTTTTTCTCTGGCAGAATGAAAGTAAGAAGCAAACACTTCATCCGAGCAAATCGATTAATCCAAAAGCAACAAACTTCCAGAACAAAACAAAAAAAAAACAAAAAAAAAAAGAGTTCCATTATAAATCCCATGCCGATTATTTCAAAAATGTGTTTCTGGTAACCAGTAACAAGGATACCTGTCATTTCCCATTTCCTTTGTTTATTTGCTCTTGTCTAAAATGTAGCAAAAATAAGACACCCAAGGCAAAATCTCTATACGAAATTGCTCACATATTCACCTCAAAACGTTGAGGAAGCAAACATTCACCCAGATTTTTCATAAAGGATTCCATTTCTACTCAATCAAACTAGTCAAAAGTTCAACAAGCTCGACCACTTGGCACTATGCTTCCATTCAATCCAAACTACTACTGCCATTCCACTAAAAATCTTTAACTCAGCTCATAGAACTGGTGGAACCCCGACAGGAAAGGACTCCCTTTTCAATCCACTAACAGCAAAACTTAAGACGAACTAGCAAGACACTTTCCTGCTAATTAAAAAGCAAACAAGTACCTAATTTCCCTTTTTGAACGATTTACAACAAGTCTTTCCTAATTCAAGCAATAATTGTCCCTAAACTCGGATATTAAAATCGAGCTAATGGATTAGTTCACCAAACCTGGAGCGAGTGGAGTCGATAACTTCCAAAATTAGCGTTAAACAAACTTTCTAAAGATGAAAGAAAGAACCATAAGAAACCAGGCAACTAATCGCGCACTCACCCTTGAGCTTGGAGCCGATCATCGGGAGCAGAGAGATTGCTCCATCCCATAAACTTGGACGCCCAGCCTGGGAGCGCCAGCAGCGTGAAAGCGATGCAGCAGAAGAGCAGAATCTTGATCTTCGCCGATCCGGTGGCTGTAACGGCCAGTTGCCGGAATCTCTGTACTCCGCGACGGTTCATCAGCAAGCTGCCTCTCGTCGACGCCAGCGTTTATCGGCTTCAAATCTCGCCAAATTCGCACAATTATCCCCGTCCAGATCCAAGAAAGGACACCGAAAGTCAATGACTCGCCGCGCGGCCGATCCGGACCGAGCCACCGCGCGACAGATTCGTCCGTTTCGAGTTGAAACGGGAGGAGAGAGCTCCTCGCCGCCGGCAGAGGAGTGGGAAACCCGATGAGAATGCGGCGGAAACTGGAGCGGCCACGTGGCTCGATTCACTGTCCGAACGACCGCGCGCGGAAATTGTGAAACTGTATTGCTGTTGTTCTTCTTCTCCTCTTCCTTCAGCTCGTCTCCTATTCTCTTACTAGTTCTACTTCACCTCGATTTGCTTATTCTCTCACAGGCTAAATTGCAAGTTTGGTCACTAGAATTACTTAAAATTTTTACGTTTGCCACTAAAATTGATTTATTCCATCTATAGTCACTTAAATTAGGTTAACAGTTCAAGTTTGGTCACTGGCCGTTAGTCTCCGTTAAGTTTTGCTGATGTGGCGGTCAACTCTTATAGTTGACCGTTAAATAAGTGACGTGGCAATTAATAAAATAATAAAATAATTTTTTTATTTTTTACCTAATTATTATAAATTAAAAAAGGAAAATCTAATTCCTTTAATTATTATTTCCACCGCCAGACCGTCGCCGTTCCTCTCCACAGAATCGTCCCCGCCGTCATCAGCCCGCTCACCAAAAACGGTCTTCGTCGCAACAAGAACACGCACGGAATCAAGCAGAACACACACAACAGCGACAGCCTCATCGGGATCCTGTACGGTATCTGCAGCTCCGGCATCTTGTGCCTCAGCCACAAGAAGGCCGCGAACTCCAGCAACATGCTCAAGCTGTAGATGAAATTTGTAGGAGATGATGTCCGTGAACTGCAGAAACGACACCCCGAGCGTCAGCGTCGTGGGGACGGCGATCCCGATCTATGGCGTGTGGAACCACTTCGATCTCGCCGCGAAGAATTTGTGGAGGGGCCCCAAGATATGATACGCACAGCTGCTCAATTGGGCCTCGTAAAGTCCGATTGCCGACAATCCCGCACCGATTCCGAGCAAGATCTTAAGCAATTTCCTGGCGATCATTTCCGCCATGGTGGCGTGGAACCCAGATCCCCACTCCAATTGGGGCACATCGACGGCCCCGATGACGGCAAAGAGAGGGATTAGGTACGATAAACACGTTAGCGCCACGACGACAAGCAGAGCAACCGGGAAAGTCTTCCCCGGCTTGTTGACTTCTCCGGCGAGCGCGCTGATGTTGTCCCAAAAATTCAAGTTCCATAAGAGAATGTCGAGGAAGAGATTCCAATCTATTTTCACTCCTGGGCCCTGGCTAGTCCATTGAGAGCCACGATGAGGACGAGGGAAGGATCCATGCGACGGTGGAGAGGAACGGCGGGCGGTGGAAAATAATAATTGCAGAAATCAGGATTTTCTTTTTTTAATTTATAACAATCAGTAAAAAATAAAATATAACTATTTTTTATTTTTTAATTGCCACGTCACTCATTTAACGGTCAACTATAAGAGTTGACCGCCACATCAGCAAAACTTAAGGGAGACTAACGGCCAGTGACCAAACTTGATCGGTTAACCTAATTTAAGTGACTACGGATGGAATAAATCAATTTTAGTGGCAAACGTGAAATTTTGTAGCAATTCGAGTGACCAAACTTGCAATTAAGCCTTCTCTCACATTAATTAAAACATATTTTACCACTCACTCATCAAATAAAACTCTAGATATGAATTTAAATATCCTAAATTTTGATTGGATTAGGAAGATAACTTGGGGACTAAAGGTAAGATAGCTCACTTGATTGGCCGGTGTTCGGTTTGTGATGACAGGGTCACGAGTTCGAGCCATCGTTTGGCCTTTCGGGTGTTCCTGGAGGTAGACCGTTTCGGCTTCGGGTGTGTAAATAGGTAGGCGGCCACGTGGTTTAGCGCGACTCCGACATCACTCAAGTGGTGATAGGGAAGGGGTTTCACGTCACAAAAAAAAAGGGATCCTTTAATAGGAATGATAATTTCGATCTATTTCATTTCACCGGATGTGTTTTACTTATTTCGGTGGGGGTAGAGGTAGTAGGCAAAGTGGGGCGGGGTTGAGTATTCTCCTCGACCTGACAAGCTCAATTCTTGGCCCATTTTTGCATAATTACATGTAATTTTACATAGGATTTTGTTTTTATTACCTCATATTTTAGCTATAATGATAATTGTGGTCAATCGAATCCCCTAAGGTGGTTACTCTAATTTTGTACAAATGACCAACAACAGAGAAGTGGTCGACCTGAAATATTATTAGGTTGACCTTAAAGACGTAAGTTGTCACTACCAGAACCAATTAGGTCGAACTTTGCTCTTCCTAGGTCGACCTATCTAGCAGAATAATACCAATTTACCAACAAAAATATGTGTAATACTATCACGAACAATTGATAGGTCAACCAGACACATTGACCGGCCGACCTTTTAAGCACACCATAGTCTTACAAACAAAGCCAAAGTCGACATTCTAGATAAACAAGCAAAACAAACAGAAACGGTCGACCATGATAAGAATTAGGTCGACCTATTCGGTTTGATCTTCCTTACCTCACAAGTACAGAAGTCCGAGTGTTGTGTACTAAATTCAATTTCTCGCAATTGTCAAACAAAGGCCGACCTGATTGAAATAAGGGTCGACCGAATGGTCTTCTGCACGCAACAAAACATCAAATTAAACGGTGCAAATTATGAATTAGACAAGATGACGGCGATAGCTAAAATAGGTCGATCTCACCTTTCACGTGGTCGACATCTTGAAACACGTACAACATCAATTGTAAAGGATCTTCTTCATCACAAAATCTCTAACCGTATAAAAAACCAAATTCAGAGTTTCAGTGGCGGTGAATGTGGCATATATTCCTGTTTATAGATATTTAGGACGAGATTGGGTCGACTTAAGTGGTAGACAAGTTAGGGTTACCTTTCTGGTGTTGGAATCCTTATCCAATACGGATACAGTGTGCACACGGTCGACCTCGTACTTGTCAGGTCGACCGTTTATATTATTTTCCTAAATAATCCCGACTTTGGTGATGATCAGTTAATGAACAGAGAACAGAGGTCGATATTTTAAAAGCAAAATGGTCGGCCTTTGAGATATTTGGGTCGACGTTTTATACTGTTCGCTTCTCAAAGAGGTCGACCATTTGCAGTAAAAGGTCAACCGCGTCGTTGAGCATCACAAAACTATAACAACAGATTAGGTCGACCTAATCCTATCTGAGGTCGACCGAAAAGTGCAAGTTACAGTGACTTGCAAGTCACCGTAGCAAAGTCCTAATTTTTTTAATAATATAATCACATTTATCATATTATAGTTTGTTTTTGTGTTTCGGATATAACAAATGAATACTTATAATGTTTTTCTTTTAATTTGCATACTCATGAATCATATAATTCGACATATCTCAATCCACACATCGTAATAAATTATTCAAACTGGACCCGACCTGTTACGAAACAGGTATGGCTATCAAAATACCGACCCCACCATGCCACTCCTACCTCTTAGTCACTTGATCTATTGATAGGGGGTTAGCAGTGGGTGGTTTTATGCGGATTTGGGTGGGTTTGGAACCACCCACTACGTGAAGGAGAAAATGACCCACCCAAGCATTATATGTGGATGGGGTGGATTGGGTGATTGCAGATAATGGGTGGTTGGGTGGATTCGGTGAGTTTACAACATATATTCCATATGATCACATAATTTTAATTAGGGATGAAAATTTCAACCTGACCCGTTTTACTAGACCTGTTTGACCTGTTTTGGGGCGGGGCGGGCATGGGTACCTCTCATTGACCGGACTTGCCCCATTCTCGACCCGTTCTTGCCTAAATTGCATGTAATCTTAGTCAAATTACTTAGGATTTTCCTTTTATTACAACATATTTTTGCTATACTAAAGTTGTAAGTAAGTGGAAAACTCAATTTCTCCAATAATTTAACTACATTTTATCATATTATGGTTTGTTTCTTGGTACTTTAATGAAAATAACAAACATTTCTAATGTTTTTCATATAAATTATATACCCATTAGGTCGACCTGCCCTGACCCACGTCCCATGACAAATTACCCGACTTGGACCCAACCTGCCACGGGGCGGGTATGGGTATCGAGATACCCGCCCCGGACCTGCCCCATTACCATTCCTAATTTTAATAGTTTTAAACTTAAAATGAAAGAAATTTTCAAACTAAATAACGTTTAGTCCATAAATCAGGTGAATCATTTATTTTACAATATTGGTATTTGTAATTGTCCACAAATTACAAAATATTCAATTGATAAACATGGTCTAAGCCTGATAATAACGAAGTTTCAAGAAGGCACCAGGCATAACACAAATGTTTTGGTCTTGCCTAGCGCCTTATTGCCTAGGCGTTGTGAGTGTAAATAGCTTTTTCACCTATAGTCGGAAATTACAATTCCAAATTGATGGAAGGAATCAAGGACGAATCGATGGAAGTTTGAGATTATGTCATTTTGGTGAAGACAGCTATCTTTTTTACTGCCATTTGTCTACTAGTTATGCTTAAGCGTACCTGTAATTGCCTAAGCACACCTCAAAACACAATCATTTGATCGAAATTGAGATGTACTTTTGTGATTTTAAGGGTTTCATTTTTCGGTAAAAATGTGTGTTAGAGCTTCAATGGTTTGAGGCTAAAAAGTTGGGTGGGTCGTTGGTCAACCACAATCCACCCACACCTACCCAATCTTTTGTGGGTCACCTATTTTATAATCCACACCCACCCATAGAAACCACCCACGTGATGATGGGTGGGTCGATCGCAAATACATTTGTTGGTTCAACCACCCAATGCTCATCTCCTAGTTGATCACATGATTCACATCCGAGTCGGAGGAGATGTGTGGTTGCGACTTGTGAATCTAGACTGGGCCCTTGCTAGCACAAGCAATATTGCAGTCAGTTGTCAGATGCCCGAGTCCAACACTTCTTTTCCAAAGTCAGGCCCAGATAAACGGCTGCCACAATAGAGTTCAATATCATGTGTTCTTTAGATTTCTGCAACTTTCTTTTCTTGCTCTGTCCTCCACACCAATACTCTGTTTTCCAAGGACACTGGTCCAAGGAAGAAGACAGACTGAAGTGTTCTTCCATTTTGGCTTTCTCGGTTGGGCTTAACAGTCCTAAGCCCATCTCCATTTTAGTTTTCTATTCTTAGAATTCGTGTGAGCTTTGTGAAGCTACGGGCTCATACTGAGGGGGGGAAAACAAACGAAAAACACAGAAGGACTTCTCCTTCATTTCGTTCTTCTCCTTTCTTCTCCCTCCCCATTCTTCCCGAATTTCCAATCCCTAGAGTCGCCTCTTCAATTACAATTGGTATAAGAGCCAATCCATTGATTGAGATACATTTTTCCAAGGGGATCATGGGGTAGTCTGTCTTTGGTCATGCATCATACAATCACCCTCCTTTGTTCACAGTAACCAATTATACATCCTGGAAGCAACAAATGGAAACCTTCCTCTGGGGAGTCAATGAAGCTCTCTGGACAGTGGTCAGTGATGGTCCTCTCAAAATGGATTTTGCCCAGCGATCCACCTCGAATGATGCCCAGAAAAAGAGTGCCCAACTTAACCAAAGAGCGATGCACATCCTCCACTCTGCCATGGCGGAGACCGAGGTGGACAAGATCGAGCACTGCGACACTGCTTAAGAGATCTAGATTGCGCTTGAGAAGACGTACGAAGGAACCTCGAACATCAAGGAGACACAGATCGATCTCCTTATGCACGAATACAAAACATTCGTCATAAACCCAGGTGAGGACATTCAGTCCATGTATTCTCGCTTTACTATCATCTTAAATAAATTAAAGGGTTTAGGAAAACCTTTCGTGAGTAAGGATATATGACTCGCCCCGAATACCATAATGATTTCCCGCCTAAGGTCCGAGTATAAACCTTATTCGAGTGCAGTACAAGATAAGTATGTTTAAATATCAACCCGGACCAGTCCGTCTACCCCTACTTCAGTCATTTGAATCATTATCTAGCAATAAATTTTTGGTCAAAAAGTTTGCTATTAAAGTAAAACAAGACAAAGGTGAATGGTTTTGAAAGCTCTTTTGTGGAATGATCACTCTGGTGTCGCTTCCCCCTAACTACTACCATGGTATGTGAACCGAAATGATTGCTATGGGAAAGGTGATTGCTAACCGCTAGGGGACGCAAATATGGTCGTAGA